TTAGTATCATTGGTTTTTAATTCACAACACACACATATCACCGTCACATCCTTTTCATTCTGTTTACTTCAAACAACATCAGTACTGTTCAGAATTACTACAGTTATGCATATCCCCCTTGCCAAAAATGTTTCTTTCCCAAACATGAAAACTTATGATTTCCAAATTAATCCAATAATGCAAAATTAAACATTTTATTTGTTCGTTCTAAAGCAAAGTCACATTAGGCTATCTGCTGTGTCTACCGCAGGGAATTGAACCCCGGCTTTTAGCGTTATATGTCCGTAGAATTAACGCTGTCTCAAAACAGAGAAAATATGTTAGTAACATATGATGTATATAAAACATAAATCCCACGATCTTTTCCTCTGTGATATTTCATGACAAGAAGGGAAAAGACACTTCCGGGAATTTTAAATCAGTTGGCCATAGAAGAAAATACAGCACTTTCGTCAGTGGTGAAGAACTGGGTATTTCTTCTTTACTGTTTTATCATTATTGTAGAACTGGCAAAACATAACCTTAATGTTCAGGTGTCTGAAAATTATGTTAACACGATTTTTTACTTGTGCCTTAAAGATAGTAACCTCGAATCTCAGCTAAAATTATTACTATAATTCGTAACAGAAATTCTGTTATACTAACGAGGTGTATTGTAGCATGGTTGTTTTGCATATAAAGCTACATAATTTTTAACTAATAGACTATAAGGAAGGTTACTAGTCAACAACGCCCACCGCCAACTCTTTGGATTATTCTACTCAAGTAGTTGGATTTAACAGTCATGTTACGTCTCTGGTCGTTGGTTAATTTTCTGTAGAAATTATTTCCGAAAAACTTCAGCGATACAAGTCCTTTCTTAAATAAAACTAGTTTATTCTTTCTCAATACAACTTTGCAATACACTTAATTTCCACAGTCACTTAAACTTGAACATACGCTAGAATTCACAACAAACGATTCACGCACTTTAATTACTACGCGCTTGACTCAATTGTCCGTCTCTATATCTCTCTCTCTGCAATTCAATTATCTACTATGCCGTCACTTCATTTGCCGGCTTATATATATATAAAAATAGAGGGCGCGTAGAGAAGACTAGAGTTGCAAGAAACAGACATGATCATTCTAGAATCTCATGACGTGTTACTAGCGTCACGTGACTTTCGCTGTCGTAACAGTCACTTTTATAATTCATCCACAGATTTTGAGTTAATGGGACGCAAACTATGAACCCTGGATTCACAGTCCGGGAAGTTAATCATTAGGCAATACTATCTCCAATAGGAATATCAACAGATTCAAAAAGTTACGATAATTTGTTAACATCCCCGTATAATAACTTTAAAGTAGCAAGGTTTAGACACTAGGGAATTAATTTAAGGTATTATGAAAAATGCTTTGAAATAAATATTTACCTATCACGCCATGTTTCTGTTAGAAAAGCAAGCGCCATTTCTTTGCATTAAAATGAAGATCGCTCTTTCACCCCTAAACCGGTACAAACTGGTTTGGCTATCAGTATTATTACTAGGCTACGCTTGATTGTTAAAAGCAAACTTGTTGCGTCTGAGGCGTGTTGTGTGTGATGCATAAGCAGCTTATATTTGAAAATATTCTAGCTAACAGAAATGTCGCTAGGCGCTAATGTACGGGGACCGTGTTCCGAATCTTTTTAAGCACCTAGTGACGCCTCTACTAGCTAACAGAAAGTTTATGAAATACTATGTACATACACCAACCAGCGAAGTTACTGTAACAAAAACTAACCATTGACTAACATTGTTCCATAACTAGTAAAACTAAACGGCGAAGAACAAGCTTCTGACGTCACATAAATTCTCAAGTGCTTGTGAGAAGCGTCGACAACCACTATGGCAAGAATAATAACAATTCGGAGAAAATACACCGTATTTTTCTCTCATTACTAATATTCTAAATTTGAGGGGGCCCTGATTGGTCAGACTTGATGCAACAGTAACATTTATCACGTGACCACTGTATCCGAGACTTTTCTCTGACGTAAGATTAAAAAACGTTTTCTATTATACAATCTTCGAACTATGTAAACTGCTAAGTCACCATTAGAGCGCTACTACTATTATGAATATATATTAGTAGCCTATGTATTACTTATTGAAGCGACGAGCATGGCCCAGAGGGTAGCATGTCGAATTATAGACCTGAGGTTCCTTTGTTCACGCCCCTTTACCGTCAAAAAAATAAAATAAATACACACTGTGTATGTGGGTGCGTTAAGAAAGTGACAGTTAAATCCAACTATTCGATTAGAGTAGACCACGAATTAGCAATGGCTAGTTAGTCATCGCTCTAATCTATCACAAATTAGGTACAGATAGCCCTCTAGTAGCTCTGTGTGAAACAAACTTATTGGAAATAAAATTATATGTCAAGAGAAAAAAAAAAAAACTACACCCCGAAAAAAAGTAACTAATCCCAGTAATCGATTTGGTTTATAGCTAATATGTTGGATATTTTCCCTTTATGAAAAAATTAACTCTGATTTTTTTTAAAGTTTATTTTCCAGTCATATAGATTGATATACAAAGGGGTTAGGGTACCCCCCAAAACTTCTTCAATCCCAGCAAACATCACATTGGAGGAGAGAACAAAAAATTTTCTTCTTTTAAACCATGCCTTATATATATATATGTACAGTTTGTATGGTTGTAAATTTATATCGAAAAATATAAATATAAATACAGTTTACAAATCTACATATACATAAGGTATGCTTTAGAAGAAAAAAATGTTTTTGTTCTCTCCCCCGCTCTCAGTTTTCCCCTTCTCCCCCCTTTTTTATACTGGTGCAGAAGAAATTTTGGGGGTCTTCCTAGACCCCCCTGTATACAGTTCTGTGTTACTAGAAAGTATAATACAGAAACATTCTTAAAAATCGCTTTTCCTACGGAATTTGTTTTTATTTCATTTTAATTCATTATTCCTTAGGATCACTTGAAATACTTAAACCAAATAACAAACCTTACTAACTAAAGTGACTTCACTGTCAAATTTAGAGACGGCTTGAATGGGTAATGAAATAAATTATATTTCTTATAAGTGGGTTCCTCGTCATCGAATTTCACGTGAGCTTTGCATTTAAGATGGTGTTTGGTTCAACTAATCTAACAGTATATAAAAGTTAAGTGTTCTAGGATATGTAGAGTACTTCATATTTTGATTATATCATAATAATTATTATATATTTACTTGCCATTGGTTATCTCAAAACTGTAACTGACCGTCTCTCTGAAAATTGTATTCTTTTCATGTTTAAAGATTCGTCTTAATGCCATGCTGATTTAAACTTTAATTGTCCGAGATTAATAAAAAAGTACAATATAATTAAATATGTTTGTTGCGTATTCTAGACTTTACTATAATGACAAATTAAGACTTACGCAGAATGTGTGTGTGTACATATATATACATTAATTTATCAATGTGATGTGTAATATTACACCTGTATATGCGAGTGTATACACACACTGTTTTATAAACGTTGTATGTATGTCTATATATATATATTAAGTGTTTAGCGAGGGGGTGACTAATTACTTCAGAATGGCATCCTGCCTTAAACGTCTAAACTGTGACTAATATTTCTACATAGTTTTTACACAGCTTGAAAATATATTTAAAAATTGTTTGTGCTGAAATAATAAAAAAAATTAAGAGCTTATTCACGTATCTTTCTCGGAACGATTTTATTTTTTAATCTTCCCCTCGGAAACCTCGGCCACTCCTTAATTTGTCATATGTATGACAATCGTCTGGAATGTAACATTGTAGTAAAGTATAGTGGTCTAACATAAACTTAGGTTGAAAGTATATGTTAAAATATCTGCTGTTGAAAGAGTGAGGTTTCAGTTAAAATTCCTTACATAAAAAAACGGTGTTCTTTATATAACTGTATCTACCATAAATGTTCTTGATTAACTATTTTGTGGCAGTTAAAACCAAAAACCATAAAGTCAACAAAGTCCTAGCAGCTACAAACAAAATTCTCGTGAAGTAATAATACCTTACTTAGTGTCAAACATATCTTAGGATTATATTTCCTTATAACCTTTATATTTTGTCCAATTTACAACTTATTGGTAGCCAGTGGGCAGTTGAGGGAGGAATAATTATTATGGAATATCCCTTAATTAACGAATTAGTAACGTTTTGAATGCTGTATTAAAAGCTTATGACACCATACAATATTAGAGATACAAATCATTAATACGATATCGTACAGAAAGTACATGATATTTTGTGAATTTAATTATTAACTAAAACTTAGCTTCATCGTAATTACATTTTGTTGGTTTAAAACACGAAAATTTGGAATATTTTCAAAGCTCCGTCGTAGTGGCGCCACCTTTTTTTTTCGTCTTAGATACTAGAGCGTCCCTTCAGATCTTTTCGAAACAACTATAGACCACAGACAAAATATTTTGACAGCCCAAACACACACACAAATAAAACTGTGACAAATGACCAATATAATGAAAGGTAAGGCCAAAAACACTGCCCAATAAATATCCTACTTACAGCTAAAACTGCATTGTATACAGTGACTAATAATTTGACAGGTAAGGCCTCGATCTCATTTTATTTAACAATTAAAGAATCTTGACATCTGAAAACAACATTTTGTACACTCGGTAACATTTTGGGGGATGAGAGAAGAAACATTGTCCTGTCACAGATTAAGTATTGTACCAACTATATTTTTACAAGTATGATTATCACGATTTTTTAAATTCTTATGTTTAGAAAATGTATTTTTTTGTGTGTGCGCGTCGGGTTGCCATTCAAGATGAGAAATTTAACGTTATATTCTTTAATTTTCTTACAACGAAGCGTAAAATTTTGCTTATAGAACGTTTTAAACTAAGTTTGCAACACGCCGATTTAACCCCTCCCACTGTGAACTAAACCCACCCCAATTAATAAACAGCTCCACTTCCTGAAAATACTTGGTCTCTCGAGCGCGAAGTGGCGCTTCTCAGAAGCTGTAAAGTCCGAAGTTGTGGCAGACGTATTTTTAAGAGTTGTAAGAAACCGAGCAAATAAACAGAATGGAAGCTATAAAGAAAAAGATGCAAGTTTTGAAAGAAGATAAGGAGAATGCAGTTGATCGGGCTGAGGTTGCTGAACAACAGTGTCGTGATGCCAATGCACGAGCCGAAAAGGTAAGATTTACACTGAACACAATAAATCCTACGTTAACAATAAAATACTCTGGGGTTTTATTACTACTAAAGTCCCAGTGTTAAGCTTTTGTTCTTTTCCGCCAATAACTTGAAAATGACACCTTAAACAAAAACTATTATTGTATTTTATATCAGCTTAAAAAAGTAACTTGTTCAATATTACGAATTCAGATATATATACACCGGTGTGTTTTGGTTTCTGTTACAACACTTCTAAACTGACATAAAACGCAATCCCATTACTTAACGATCTTTTTAACTTCTTGATCTTCTTTTGACCAAATATAGGAGGCCACTTGGCTTCTTACTTGCAGAATTCGTAGCGAAATGCAAAATAATTTTTAATAAAACAGTGTTAAACCAAAAGAAAAAAATCACAGTTACTATAATATAATATGTATAAATTAAATCTGAAATTTTATAGATTATCAGGCATGACTGGTGAAAATCGTGTATCTGAAGTTCGGTTTGGATTGTAACCGCACAACCATTGATAGTTAACTCACAATTTTTTTATTCAGTTTATACATCTAATAATCAACCTATTTATTACAGAAGTCACGTGATTTGGGTAGTAAATGAAAGCTACACTTTTGTGCATTAAGTGAGAAACTTTAAAAACTTTAGCGACTACTAACCCCAATGAGTCACATATTTACATCAATGTAACATCCTCGGGTATTCGATGCTAGCAAGTAAACACGTGGAAATTGTTCATTTAGGACATTTTATTTTTTATATTATTTGTGACGCTTGTGTCATGGTTGTCGAACAACTGATACCCATCAAGTACGTTATGTACATCGATATTGATACAATCGCTGTTATAAATTTAATCAGATAAATTTGTTTAGAAACTAAAACGGTTTTTGTCTATAGGGTTCTGGGTCCGTTTTACTTCACCATATTGTAACGTAACTTTGAATATGTGAATAATATTATGACATTTCAACGGATTCGGCCAATCAAAGAATGCATTAGGCCATTACAGATTCTCTTTTCAATTTCACATGTGGTGAAAAAGAAAAGAAATCTTGAACATGTATATAAAACGGTTTTTGTTCAATAACATAATACTTTTACTCTAAATCTTAGTTCATACATAAACATGTTTCTCGTTAGCTTTGTTTCTCCCTCTCGAAATCTCTGCCAAATATAAGTTTGTTTGTTTGTTTTGAATTGTGTGCAAAGCTACATGAGGGCTATCTGCGCTAGCCGTCCCTAATT